TTTTCGGGATTGAGTTGGGCAACCTCTACTACGCGGCCTCGCGGTCGAAGTCGTATCCAACTCAATACCATCCTAAACATTCCTAGTGCAGCCCAGGTCCGGCAGCATGGTTGTGTGTGCAACAGTGTAGTGCTAAAACATTTAAAGCATGCACAACAGTTTATAAGCAAACAATGCTTCAAGCATCCGAAAAAATAAACATTCATTCCCAAACTCCCAACCTACAAAACCATTTAACACTTTGTTAGCGGACTTACCTTAGCCTTCACAATGCGCTGCCATAAGACCACATTAGTTAACAAGCAATCAAGCTATACTAGGCCTAAGTCCTCAAGTCCCCAGCGGAGTCGCCAAGCTGTCGCAACCTCCCCGAACCAGGCCCCGCCGCCTAAGGGGTTAGGCTAATGGATTACTAAGTTAAATCTAGCTCGAGCTAATCCCAAGCTCATACCAATTCGCGACTTAAGTTAAAGTTATTAACATGGAAATCAATTTCACCTAGGAGTCGCCACTAATCAGTTTTTGGTGGGCCGATTAGACACCCAAATGAAACACGGGAGGAATGCTTCACTTCTACGAACCAGAGATTCAATGGGTACGGAGACTTGATTACACTAGCGATCTACTAGTGCCCTTTCGGTACCTAAACTTGATTACTTGCAAATTAACGTACTAGGCAGCCTATCGAAAAAGCTAAAATTCCGTCTAACCATGCTAAAAATAGAAAATACCAACCAATAAATTAAAGGCGCGCAACCAAATAATCACAAGGAAAACAAGCAACCAGTGACCTAGCATCGTCTCTAAAAAAGAAAAGGCAATCAAAAGCCCTAAAGTAAAGCCCTCATGGCTTGTCCGATTTTTGGGAATTTTTTAGAGGGTTTTTTCTCATTTTTTCATTTTTTTGTTTTGAGTTTTTAACCTAAAATCTAGTGAAATTAAGCCCAAACTGATTTCTGAACATCTCCTAATTTTCTGATTTTTTTTTTTGAATTTTTCTGAATTTTTTAATATTTTTTAATTTTCTGAATTTTTTAATGTTTTTCAGACTTTTAATATTTTTTTGGGCTTTTAAAAATTTTCGAATTTTTTGGAATTTTTAATATTTTAATATTTTTTTGAATTTTTGAATTATTTAGTATTTTTTAATGTCTTAATATAATAATTCCGGACTGGTCCCCCGACCCGATCCGCCCGACACATGACCCGGGATCCCCATTCCCTGCTCCTTTCTATTTTTTATTCTTTTCTTTCGGTTTTCCTTTTTTCTTTTTCTTTCTTTTTCTTTTGTTTCTTTTTTCCTTTTTTATTATTCTTCTTTCTTCTTCATCCCCTCCCGCGTGACCTTCCCGCCCGTAAAGCTTCCCTGCTTCCTACTGTTCTTCACCGAGAACTCCTATTCTTCAACCGAGACCTCACCAAGAACGCTTTGGGCCTCCGACCGACGACGCGGGCCGCCAACGCCGACTACCTACACTGGGCTCACGCTCTCACCATCGACCCCCCCCATCCGCCGAACCTTCGGCTAACTCCGGCTGCCGAACGACACCGGCAACCAAGATTCATTCTCCGATCCCCAAACTTTCGGCCACAAGAAAACGTAAAACCCAAACAACCAAGCATACACGACATGGAAAAGAGCGAACGACGGTGGCGGCTTCGAGCCACGGGTGTAATCGGGCAAAGGAGAATGGAGCTCCGGCGAAGGTCACGTCCATGGCCGACTCGAACGATGCAAGATATGCCACAAAACCGAAAGAAACCACAGAGAAAACACGAAGTCAGACACCATTCGACCAATATGGGAACCAATCAAGCATAAAAATCGAGTTTCAAGCACCGATTCGCAAAAAATAACTCGGACCTCCATTTAGGCATTTCGTCGAACATGTGATGTGCGAGTTCATAAAAATGTTCTAGAGTGAGATTTGATGCGGTTTTCAATTCAAACGTGAAGTGAGAAGACCCATACAACTGTTTTTTGCCACAATAAGGTCTCAGTTTGCACAAAAACGACCCGAAAACGCAAGATCAAACTCGGGGTCATAAACTCAAAGAACTTCGTTGAAGCATTTTGGCAAACAGGTGTTAGGCAACTTGAAAAGGGAGCTAAATGCCTAATCTCGACACGATTCGTAGTCTTTTTTTTTTTGACACGTGATGTTTGGAAAAGGTTCATTGAGTGTCAAAAACGAGTTAGCTTCCTTCGATGGGGCCGGGCGACCACCGAATAGGCTCGGTGCGCCCGGCACCCCGGAGAGGCGAGGAAGGGGGACAAAAACGGGGAAGAAAAAGGATGCAAAACCCACCTGGTTCGGGGTTGACCGAAGAGAGGCGCGACAACTGGGGCCTCGGCGGTGGCTCAGGCGACGTTCCGGCGAGTGGGTGAGAGTCGGATCTCTCCGATTCCCCTCAACTCTCAGTCGGTCTCCGTTTTTTTCTTCTTCTTCTAACTCTCTCTGCGTTCTTGGCTCCCTCGATTCTCTCTCGGTTTTGCCTCCCCCTCCAGTCTATTCTCTCCGGAAGCTCTTCAAGTTCTCTTCTCTTTTCCCCTCTCGTTCTCTCCGCTTTGCTCTCTCGTTCTCTCCGCTTTTTTTCTCTCTCGTTCCAAGCCTCCTCCTTTTAGATTCCCGCCGGCCCTCTCTCTTTGGTGTCCCTCCAAAACGGTCCCCGATCAGTCAACGAAGCCAGCTCTTTTTCTTTCTATTTTCAGCTTAAAGCTGCCGTTGATCAGCCTGCCCTTCTGCATCGCTTCTGCTTCTTGCTGCGTTCTACCTTTTTTGTGAATGGATTGCGCTGTCAACAGAGTAAGAAGAAAAGCTCGGTCTTTTTTTAATTTTTTTTTTGGTCATTTTACCTTTGGCTTTTCCTTTCCTTTTCTTTTGGCTTCTCTTCTCGTAGCCCCCCTTCTGACGTGCACTCTCTGAGAGAAAGCAGATGGCCTTCCCCTCTTTTGTCTCTTCTCTCTTTTGTTTTTTTCTTTTTTACTTTCTTTTTTTTTTTAATTTATAATAATTTTTTTAAATAAATAAATAAAACAAAAGGAAAATATGTTTTCACTAAATTCTATTAATGCTAATGCACCTAACATCTATATGCCAAGAAATTTAATGAGAATATTTTTGGTTTAGGGGTTAAGAATTAAACCCTAATTTTTTGCGATAAAACCCTAAATGATTTGGACAAAATTTAGGTGTCAACAATGTCGGCCGGGTCCAACATTTCCCTCGTTCAAACTTTTGTCTCATCTTTCTCTTTAGTAATTGCTACGTATTTTTCCTGCAATCTCCCACCTTCTTCTTTCTCCTTTGTGCGTAATGGGCCGATTCCACTACAATGACCGACACGTGGCGCCACGTGTCGGCTGGGTCCTATCTTTCCCTCGTTTAAACTTTTTCCTTCTCTTTCTCTTCATTAATTGCCACATCTTCTTCCTTTGTGCGTAATGGGCCCACCCCACCACGTAATCGTGGGCCCGGTCCATTTAATGATGGACACGTGACGCCACATGTCATTTGGATCTCCCCTTTCTCTCGTTCAAATTTTTGACTCATTTTTCTGTTTATTAATTGTTGCATCATGGGGTAAGTACAGCGTAAGTGCCATAACTTTTTTTTGGCTCACTTGAGTGCCATAACTTTCAAAAAAAAGATCACTTAAGTGTCACTTACGAGCTGGTCGTGAGGGCCTAAAACTGCGGCTTTTCCGGCCGAACAATGACCTTCCCGGTGAGGCGAGCACCACCAGCTTGAAGAGGGGGTGTCGGTGAATCATTCCATGGCCTCCGTTCATCTTGAAATTTCCGTTTTAGCCTCCGTTGACGAAGGTAAAAATGTTTCGTAGTCACACAAATCGGTTTGATAAATTGTGTGACTACGAAGCATTTTTACCTTCGTCAACAGAGGCTAAAACGGAAATTTCGAGATGAACGGAAGCCATGGAATGATTCACCGACACCCCCTCTTCAAGCTAGTGGTGCTCGCCTCACCGGAAAGGTCACCGTTTGGCTAGAAAAGCCGCGGTTTCGAGCCCTCATGATCAACCCCTCTGACAAGCTGGTCGTGAGGGCCCGAAACCGTGGCTTTTTCGGTCGAACGGTGACATTCCCGGCAAGGTAAATAGCACCACCAGCTTGAAGAGGGGGTGTCGGTGAATCATTCCATGGCCTCCGTTCATCTCGAAATTTCCGTTTTAGCCTCCGTTGACGAAGGTAAAAATGTTTCGTAGTCACACAAATCGGTTCGATAAATTGTGTGACTACGAAGCATTTTTACCTTCGTCAACGGAGGCTAAAACGGAAATTTCGAGACGAACGGAGGCCATGAAATGATTCACAGACACCCCCTCTTCAAGCTGGTGGTGCTCGCCTCGCCGGGAAGGTCACCGTTCGGCCGGAAAAGTCGTGGTTTTCGGCCCTCACAACCAGCTCGTAAGTGGCACTTAAGTAATCTTTTTTTTGGAAGTTATGGCACTCAAGTGAGCCAAAAAAAACTTATAGCACTTAAGTGTCCTCCGTACAAAAGTTATGGCACTTGCGCTATACTTACCCCGTTGCATCTTCTTCCTGTGATCTCCCTCCTTTTTTCTCCTTTGTGCGTAATGGGCCCGCCCCACCATGTCATCATGGGGCCGGTCCATTCAATGGCCAACACATGACGCCACGTGTCAGTCGGTTCCCTCCTTTCTCTCGTTCAAACTTTTGCCTCCTTTTTCTTTTCATTAATTGTTGTATCTTCTTCATGTGATCTCTCTACTTCTTCTTTCTCCTTTGGGCATAATGGGCTTGCCCCACCACGTCACTGTGGGTAGGGGTGTCAAAATAACCCGGTCAAACATAACCCGACCCGACCCGACCCGAAAATTTTCGTTTTGGGTCGGGTTATGCCTCATCTTTTTTGGGTAACATTAAAAACAATTGGGGTTTTGTCTTGAATTTATCGGGCTCGGGTACCTGAGCCCAACCCAAATCGAAATATATGATTTGTTTTTGGTGCACTCTCAAGTCTCAAGCGTTGAAACCCTATCTTCTTCCTCCATTGCGACAACACAGAGAATTTTGCGGCCGCGCAATCCATCATTTTCTCCATTAACGCCTCTCGAGAAGGTCTCCTCTCTATCGCATTTTGCTTCCTTTTGGTACTCTCTCTCTAGAACTTTCTCTCTCCTCTTTTTCCCCCTATCCGTTGATGCTGATTGTTCCGCTGTTCTTGTGATGTGAGTTGATTGATGCGATCTGTGTGTTCGATATGGCCTAAGGTTCTACGTCGATCGGAATTTTCTGAGCGGAAATTGATGTTGGGTTTTGCAAGTCAAAGCTAGGAAAAATCCGAGGTAGAAGGAGGAACGTACCTAAAACTTGGGTTTTAGGACTTGCGAGCGAGGAGAGCTTTTTGAGTCCAGTAGAGGTCGACGATTTGCAAACCCCAGCTTCAGCTTCGATCCACCAGCATCTGTATCGACTGACTCGTAAGCTTCTCTCTCGGTGGCACTCATTGTTGAAATTCTTGATTGGCTCATTCCTCTGTGTCTAATTGGTGTTTTGTCCTTCGGTTCTTATCGTTTGATCGACCTGGTTGCAGTGAATACCGATTTGTTGCTTCTTGAATGAATCAATTTGTATTGTGTTAGATTTTAGAAATCGCGGGTCCATGGCGATAATCAGTGCTTAGCTGTTGAAGTTAATCAGTGTGATGCAAATGGGGTTTCCCTTTGACTGCTTTCTATTGTGCTATTCTCCTGTCTTGGTGTAGATATGTTATTGCCTTCATAACCATTATGAAATAGATGATATGCATGTTGTTCACCATGGTTCGACTAGTTTGCGGATGAACTCCATCGGAGTTCCCTGTGGCAAAAGGGTTTGGCTTACCGTGATGCATACTTTTGATCGAATGTATGTCTTTACGCGTTTGGTAGTTTTGGTTCTTGTTCTTTGTTTCGTCCACTTGAATGCTTGCTTATTTATCTATGGTAAACGCATGCTTAAAGATGATGGTGAACTGTTTTGAACCACTTGGACACTGTCGTTTGCACATTCCTTCGACTCATCAGCCTTGATAGAGCCTTGAAAATGATCAGTGGACCGAAAGCTCTTTAGTGATGTAAAATGGTAATACGACGAAATCAGGTTCCTGAGGTAATTCATTATTTTGAAGATGTTCATGCTTGCTCTTGAGATAGACTTTACTTTACTATGTCAACTTTCTATGGGAATGATGGTTTTTGTTGATTCTGGAATGTTAATTATTTTTGCTGATTGCTAGATGTCTTTGTCGACGGATTCTAGCCTCCCAAATAGAAGGAAGAGATCCATTATGTGGGATCACTTTAAAAGGATTTCATGTGCAGACAAGAATCAAGAAAAGGCTGAATGTTTATATTACGGGGTCCACATTGGTTGTTCTAGTACTTAAGGGACTAGTTCAATGCATCATCATTTAGATAGATGTAAGGAAGATCTATATGCAAACATCGAGAAAAGGCAAAAAATGCCTCGGATCAACCTATTGGGGTTGGTACTTCACCATGGAAATTTGACCAGGATGCTAGTAGAAAAGAACTAGCGACCATGTTCATTCTTGATGAATTGCCCTTTAAGTTTGTAGAAAATGAGGGTTTTCAGCGATTTATGTATAGAATCTAGCCAAAGTTCTCAATCCCTACGCGTAACACGTTGAGGAGTGATTGTTATGCATTATACGTGGAGGAAAGAAGAAAATTGATGAAATATTTTGCCGACACACGTCCTAGAGTTTGTTTGACGACCGACAAATGGACCTCTTGTCAAAATTTGACTTATATGTCTCTCACTGCTTATTTTGTTGATGCTGATTGGAAGTTGCATAAGAAAATCCTAATTTTTTGTTAAATCCCAAGTCATTATGTCGAGATAATAGGAAAGTCAGTTGAGAAATGTTTGACTGGTTGGGGGATTCAAAGTATTTTTTCCATCACCGTGGATAATACAAGTTCAAAAGATTTAGGAATTCAATACTTGAAAAGAAGACTTAATTCTTGGAACACTTTGGTATTGAAAGGTGAGTTACTCCACATGAGGTGTTTTGTTCATATATTGAGTTTGATTATGAGAGAGGGATTAAAAGACATAAATGATTCAATTGTTAGAATATGTTCGGCTATACGTTATGTGAGGTCTTCTCCTGAGAGGTTGAGGCGGTTTAAAGATTGTGTTGAACTAGAGAATATTGAGTCCAAGAGTCTTGTATGTTTGGATGTAGAGACTCGTTGGAACTCGACATATATGATATTGGAGGCAGCTTAGAAGTTTCAAAAAGCTTTCTTCTTATTGGAAATTCAAGATAGCAAATTTATTGAAGAACTGTCCAAAGCGAGAGGGTTGCCTACTAGTGATGATTGGGACTGTGCCCTTCACCTTCTTCCTTTCCTGAAGTTGTTCTTTGATACGACTTTAAAAGTGTCGGGTTCTTATTATGTCACTAGTAATGATTTGGCAAAGGATATCTATGGGCTTTTTGGGATGATTAATGAATATTGTGAGAATGAGGATAAAGGTTTGCAGGAAATGGTTAAAAGAATGAAGACCAAATTCAATAAGTATTATGGCAATGTGAACAACATCAATCTTAATTTGTTCATTGCTTGCATACTTGACCCTCGACATAAGTGGGAATATGTGAAATGGTTGATTAATGATGTTTATGAGAGCAAGCAAGCATAAATTTTATTTGATAAAGTAACATCATCACTAACATTATTGTAGGAGCAATACCGCACTGGTAAATGCCCCCAAGGCAACTTGAGATTAAAGGGTACAAGGACAGTAAATGTGTCAAAGTCTCCCGTGGTTGGTGCGGACTTTATGACTGCAAAGTATCTTAGCCAAACGGGACAACAAATTTTGGAAGAAAAATCAAAATTGGATAAATATTTGGAGGAATGATGGAAACGTTATAGCCTCGACTTTGATATCTTAACTTAGTGGAAAGTTAATTCTTCAAGATATCCTATCCTCTCTTCGATCGCTCGAGATATTTTAGCCGCGCCCGTCTCGACTGTAGCATCAGAGGCCGCATTCAGCACAAGAGGTCATGTACTCGATGTCTTTCGTAGCTCCTTGACCCCAAGCATGGTGGAGGGTCTTTCATATGCTCAAGATGGGCTACGATCCTCGCCATTTTCACTTTCAATGGAGGATGACTTAGAAGAATAAGAAAATTTTGAGTCAGGTCAGAAAACATAATTGTGGAATATTTATTCTTTTCTATATTACAATGGATACTTAAGTTCTCATTTTGATTGTGAATTTAATGGAGAGTGTTCAACTACAATTATGGAGCCGAACCCGATATCGGTTTCTCTTGATGATTGACAAAGTTGAAAATTGGTACTTGCTAAACTAATTTTTTTTATTGCAAATTTACTTTTTCATATTCAGATTACGCATTTAGTAATTGCTGTCTTCTTCATTTCTTACTTGTAGGTTGACCTTACGGAAGAATGGTTTCCTTTCTTTCCAAATCTCTGATGTAGGGTTATTATCACCTGCTTTACTTTTTTTTTATCATTGCCCTAGTTTGTGAATTGGTCCTACTATGCATGTAGACAAGGTTGTATAACATTGGAGCTACTTTGGCGGAGTTGCCTTGGCGGAGTTGCTATGGTTTGGTTTGCTTTGGAGTAGATATGATCCACTTTTGTCTTGTTGAGAGGATGAGATGGGGTCACTGAACTGAATTCGAAGGTCAATAGGTTCCTATCCTGGGGTTGGGGGTTGAAGGTCAATAGGTTCCTATCATGGGTTTGGATTTAATCGTCTATCCGATTTTGTCGATATGTGTTTGGAGTTTATATACGCTTGTGTACTCTGTTTTTATCAACGTAAATCTTTGTCGTAACTCGCAAGTAGCCCTGTTTGCTTTTTTCCCACATCATCTTTCGGTGTCATTCTTATCGAGGGGTGGTTGGTTGTGTTGTCCGAAAGTTTTGGAGCTTTTGGTTGGGGCAATTAGGAATTCTGCCATTTGTGATTGATCATTCCTAGGTTGCGATCCGGCCCAAGCAGTCGTGTACTGCAACTACAATGGTGTGATGGTGTATAGTCATTGGATTTTTCTCGCTCAGCCTTTGGTTTAGCTGTTTGATGTTTGTCACATGCTATGCCGCTGATATGTAGATACGAGATATTACATGTGGGGTTTAGGAGTCAGATGCCCCTCTGTTCGACTTTTTCCCTTTTTGCTATATTGCTTGACAGTATCTCTTTGGGCTTCTTAACTCTTGTTACCCATAAAAGAAAAAGAACGGAACGTGTTTGTTGTTCTGCATTCTTGTGTTTGACAATTCAGAGGCCAGTTATTAATCCCATGGTCGGGATGAGTCTAAGACTTGTTTATAAATTCACAAACTATTTGTGAAACTATCAGAAAAGTCAAAATGCATGTCTGCATGTCATATGGATCCATGCTACTTAACAGGGAACATGACTGTTTATATAGAAAACCCATGAGGTACGTCGCATAATTAATCTTCGAGGTTTTTGGAGATGTGGGACTCCTAAACGATTGTGCGTGTAACTTAACCTTAATTTATAATAAAAATCTAAAACACGAACCCGACCCGAACCGACCCCACCCGATCGTGCGGCTATATCATGTTCAGGTCTTGTTTCGGGTCGGGTCAAGCACACATATTCATTGTTTCGGGTCGGGTATTATGAAAACCTGACCCGAGCTGACCCATTGACACCCCTAACCGTGGGCCCGGTTCATTCAATGACCGACATGTGGTGCCACATGTCGGCCAAGTCCAACCTTTCCCTTGTTCAAATTTTTGTCTCCTCTTTTTCTTTATTAACTGCTGCATCTCCTTCTTGTGATTTCCCTCCTTCTTTCTCCTTTGTGCACAATGGGCAGGTCCCACCACGTCACCATGGGGCCGACTCATTCAATGATCGCCACGTGGTGCCACATGTCGGTCGGGTCTCAATGGTGCTCAGACAACGACCTTCACGTATCCTATTACAACAAAATCGTATATCAATATCTTCTTTCGAACAATGACTTGTCTAATAGGATGCTCTCTAACAAAACTCAAATTAAGGATCAACAAAACTCTTACAAACCTTGTGCATTTTTTGACCATTCGCGAAGCCATCGTCCATGTCACAAGCATCCCGTTCCCAATTTGGCCTGCTGAAAGAAAATTTTCGGAGCGAACTCGTAAAATAGGCGATTGGTCGAAAAAAGGAAAAACGCCATCGGTGCATATAACACAAGAAATCAACATACAAAATTCTCATAAATCAGAAGCGCTAGCGGCAACTGATCGCCAAAAGGGGAATAACCCTAACTTGAGTTTGTCCGATGCAGAGGTCGAATCGGAGCCGCGAAGGCAACCGCATAGGCGAAGGCGGAGGTGGCGACAGCTGCGTGGTCGGGAGTGAAGAGAAAGACGCCTTTGCAGTAATAGGAGCGAAGCTCGCGAAAGTTCAACTTGAGCTCGTTGGACGGAAAATCGGAGCCACCGATGCCCCTCCGACAAGCGACGGAGGAGGCAAGGTTCATCGGATGAGATAGAGAAGAGTGGAGAGTTGTCTTGGTCGGGAAGAGGGAAGGCCCGGAGGAACGGAGAGAGCGGAGCGGAGTCATGGAGGACAGAGAGAGAGCGGAGCCAGCATCGTTCTCGGCACTGAGAGAGCAGAGAGAGCGGAGTATCGGAGAGTAATGAAGCAACGGGAAGAGAATTTTAAAGTTTATGACAGGCGGGCCCACCTTTGACACGTGTCGCATATCGCGTATCGTAAGTACATAACGGCCATCTAAAGGTCGTTTGGTAACATTTATGTTTCCGAAAATAATTTCGTTTGAGAAAAAAAATTCTATTTCTATTTTTTCGACGAGTTTTTTTAGTATAAGAACGTGGTCATTGTATAAAATTTCTATTTTTGGAAGACTAAAATATTACCTTAAAACCAACCGTTGGCTACACATGACCCGCCGCAGCATAATGGGCAAGCCCAACCACGTCACCATGGGGCTGGCCCATTCAATGGCCGACACATGGCGCCACATGTCGGCCGGGTCCAACATTTCCCTCGTTCAAACTTTTGTTTCATCTTTCTCTTTAGTAATTGCTACGTATTTTTCCTACGATCTCCCACCTTCTTCTTTCTCCATTGTGCGTAATGGCCGATCCCATTACAATGGCCGACACCTACGCATCGCCGACACCGACACGCGACACGACAGGTCATTTTTCAAAAAATAGAGAATTCCGACACGTTGGGACACGTTGTCAGAGATTGAGATTCTTCCGCACATCGTAAAACTTTGATTGTGCGAAGACATACTCGTGACAAACCCAATATCGATTCATTCTAAAGGTTATCTTTTCTTTTGCATTTGTATCTCATAATCTAAATTCGGATAATTGAGACCAAACTCATTTTATCACAATTGAAATTCAAAAGAAATGTACTTCCCTCCTAGCCAAGCAAATAATTAAAAAGGCATTATTTATTACCTGTGATATGAAACCACAAAGGCATTACGCAACTCAATTGCCTTCATTCTTTATTAAAAAAAAAGGAAAATTTCCAAACTTTAGTGCGATGGATAGGTCTTCTGACAACCTTGAGAGCAAGAATCCTCACAAGCTCCAACCTTCTTCACGTCCACTCCAACTTTCTCGGGGCCTATATGAGTTCATATATGAAACAAGAAATTTAAAATGTCACTCCCATCAAAATTGAAATTGAATTTTTTTTAGCTAGAGAATATATTAGTCCAAGGA